ACTGGTAAAAATAAATAATTGAAATGGGTATATATTTGTTTTTTGTTAAGTTGCCTAATAATTATGCACAGTAATAGTCACCTGCACACACACACTATAATTTTCACAGTCCTCTGTGAAGATTTGAAATATTGAAAGATTTATGATTTTCCAGCAAATTCTTTAAATGTTCATCTTGAAAAAACGTAAATACCGTAAATGCTTGTTTGCATTGTGTGCACTTCAACAAACAGTAACCTGAAAACCGTAATTCCTGTTTTAGTTAAACATCTGCAAATACTAAAAAAATATAATAAAAAAAAAAAGCAGTCATTCTTGTCAGGACTGAATAATCAAAATTGTCAATTTTGCTTCTATTTACTTTTTATTCACAGGTATGAAAACTTGTGTCGGCAGACAGGATGGAACTAAGTGCTATGGAGCTTTGGGAGGAACTGTGGAGATTCAACTGGGCAGCATCTCAGAAATGTTCAATGTGAAAAAAAATTATAATAGCACAGAACATAGACTTTGTTTTCTCAGTAATGGAACGTTTAGGATCAATAACCTGAGCAGGAATGACAGTGCTAATTATACCCTTCAAACCTTTGATTCACGTGGAGAAAGTTCATTCGAGTGGACTTTACAGTTGTTTATTCAAGGTATTTTTTCTCTTCTGTTGGCAAACTAAATAATATATCACAAAATATCAAATACATGTATTTTGTTCTTTCCCTGTTTCTTTTTAGAGACTATAAAACATGACAGAGATTCTGATTTAAAATCTAAACTCATCTGTGTGTGTTTCTCTCAGCTCCTGTGTCCTCTGTCCTGCTGCTCTCTGAGTGTCTGTCCCAGGGAGAGATGAGGGTGTCCTGCTCCTCTCAGGGAGGGGACAGTCCTCAGTACAGCTGGACTCTGGATGGACGCTCACTGTCAGATGCTGAGCTCCTTTCTGTAAATAATGAGAGTAACATCATCACTCTGAAACAGCACGTCTCAGGACATCTGGTCTGCTCAGTCAAGAACAACGTCAGTAATGTCTCCAAAGAAGAGAGGATATCTACCTGTGGTGAGTGAGAACACTGTAAGTAGTGAATCATCAACTAATTTGACGTAAGTTCCCAGTAATCCAGTCTTGAGAGATTGACAAAAGACACCAACTGGTCTTCTTCAGATATTTGTACTGCACTCTGCTACACAAGGTACCTAGAGCTGAGGTCGGCCTACTGAAAGATCTAAACAAGGTCACATTCCTGTCAGTCAGTAGTAATGTCTGCAGAATTCAATACTTGTTTTTCATGTGTTTGTTTAAGTATTCTTTAATTTATCTAAATTAAATATTAGAGTAATCCCATCAGTCAATAATATTGACTTAACAATTATAAAGTAAAACTAACTTTAATGAAGTGGATTTTTTGATGTCCCCTCTCTTTTGCCATAAAAACACACGTTGACTTGTTTGTTTTTTTATTTCTTTTATTTCAATAGCAGGAATGTTACCATTGATGGGTGGTGTTCTCTCACCACTGATAATTGTCTTAGTTGTGGGTGTAGCAGTCATCTTCGCTTGGAGAAAAAAACAAAACAACAAGGGTACAAAACATGAAGGTAAAAAAAAAAAATAATTTTTACTCACTTAACTGCAATTTTTATTGCAGTTAAGTGGGATTTTGCTCTTTTTATAATTACACAGAACAATTTTTGCTTTTACTGTTTTTGAAATAAACCATTTTGATTCTTTGCCAAGAGTTTGTTGATACCTCTGCCATAAAAAGCCAGAAGTGAGCATTATTAAAAGTCATATTCTTGGGTGCATTTTGGTCAGAATCAGTGAAACAATTTCCATTTTCAGTTTGCAAAAGAAATGATGGTAAACTTTAAGAAATCAAGTTTGATAAAAACTCAAACAATTATTTTAATGACTCACTGATGTTACTTTATTGTTCTTGCTTCTCTGCAGAGGAAGATGACCAGGCAATAATGTATGCTGATGTTAGGTTTATGCAACAGCACGGGGGGCAAGTTGCGCAAAGAGTGGAGATAGAGGTGGAGGCAGAGTATGCCCGTGTCAATTCTTCAAAGTGACCTTGGCACACGCCAAGGTTCATAAAATCAAGGGATGTCAATCAGTTAAATCAGTGCTTTTACATAGACTGCACCACTGAAGGTCCACCGAGGGAGGAGGTGATGTCAAGATACCCCAAGATGAGGTCTTTCATACAATGTAATTTCCCATCACACAAATCATCAAAGCTCATAAAATCTTGTCTTTCTAACTTTCACTGTTTTCCAAATTATACCACGACATATGTGTATCCTATATTAGGTTACCGCTAGGTTTGACTATAGTACTGTAAATGTTTTTTGTAAACAAAGGTTATGACTGTAATATAACATAAAATGAATTTCAATAGTAGTAATAGTTTCAATAGTAGTAATAACATTATTAATAATGTATTGTCATCAGTCTGGTTCCAGGGATGGCAAATTTTCAACACTGTGGCAATAACCTAGGATATAGTTTAATATACATTTTAAATGTTTTGAGCCTCAGCCTCAGTACAAATATCAAGGAAATGTTCAAAGCCAGAATAACATTTATGCAGTTCAACTCTGCTTCTAAAATCACACGGTTGTTGTTGTTGTTGTTGTTGTTTTGTTACATTTGCATGTTAGAGCTTCTTCTTTACTGCACTGTAACAGTATATTTGCAAAATGGATTAAAACTTAAACAATGAATTTTTTCTTTAATTAGCACTTTCTAATAATGTCACACTATTAAGCATTAGCATTAGTGCTCAATTCATCTATATGCCATTACTCCTCCTTAGTGATTGGTTCTGAGCTGCTTCTTGTCCGGAGTGCTGGTGGACAGGTTGATGATGTAAGGCAGGAGACTCGAACTTGCATGTTCACAGAGCTAATATGATAGGTAAAGATGCTAGGGATAGAAAGACACAAGATGGAGCCCGGTGATTTCCTGGGACAGCCCCTAAAAGTATCAGATAGAAGAAGAAGAATAAGGCGTTATTTTTGTGGGGTTTGAAAGCATTAGAACACTTTTGCAAACATGTGATGTCTCGATAAATTGAGCAGATATTGGAAGTTTACACAGCACCATTCTCACCTGAAAATATCTTAAAAGTTTATTTTGTAATTAAGAAAAAGTAATATTTCAAACTCTGCCACTCTGCGTTCCTCCACCACTGCCTCATTGGAGTTTTGGATGAAATGCATTCTAGGATATTTGCCTGGGTTTACCTATAGCAGCTAGTGAGCTGATTGGAGACCAAAACAGCCAATCAGAATTTTTTGCATCCAAATCTGTGATTGGCTGGTTTTGTGGCACAAATATAACGGTGTACAGAAAGAGTTGAACAGGCAGGGGCAGAAATGTTGAGAGCGCAAGCAACACATTGCGAGCAAGAGCAAATGAAAAAACTGAGCAAGAGGGGTTGCTATTGTGTGTGTGTGTGTATGGAAAGTAGCAAACACCGAAATACATTTTTGCACACAGCAACGAATTTTGTTTGCTCAAATTTAGCTTTTCTTCACTCAAAATAAATTTCTCCTCAAAATGCAACACTTGCACCTGCAAATTTCTTTTACATTTGCTCAGAATTGTGGCACAGAATAATAATAAAAGAAGAAGAGGTAATCCTGAGCAGACAGTTTATAATAGTTATGTTCATGTTTTCATTTATAATAAAACATCAGACGTTAAACCTCATCTTCTTTTTTTGTCCTCTTAGACTAGTGTCTCATTTCCTCAATATACTGCTTTGTATTGTAATGTAATCATGAACACAGACAAGCATTGTACAAACTGCTTTTATTTATTTTTTTTAAATTCATTAAAATATGTGCTGTAGCCTGTGTTCATCAGTCCAGATTTAAATATAGTGACACAAAAGAATATAACAAAAATGAATAAAAGAATAAAAGTGAGGATCTTTATTTTAAAACCTGCATGTGTACTTGTGGTTTGTATAGTGGCAGTTACTATTGCTTCACTTCCTTGTGCACAATGATGGTTTTGCTTAGCATGTAACCTCAACAAACAGAGCTTCAGACAATATTTCAGAACTGAGTAACACAACAAGCATTAATGTCTGTGAAGGTGTTTCAAGGTTTAAAGGAATCTCTCATTTACATTTCTTAAATTAAAAGCAATTATGGCTTAATTACACGCTTTATTTTGTAATGTCTGAGTTAAACCAACTTCAAAGTGCTTATAAACCCCTTTAAGTTGTTAATTTAATTTAGCTGTAGATATTAACTGTCAGTGAAAAAGTCATAATAAGTTGGACAATAAAATTACATGACTGGTTTAGGAATTTTAGAGTTTTAGTATTACTAAATTAATAACTTCAGTCTGTCTTCTCACGCTGCAGTTTTATTCTAGTCACATCTTGTCTGGTCTGAGTTCACACATTCTTATCTGAAGATGATCACTAAAACAAGAAACATGGTCAGAGGTTGTGCCTAGTTCACTAGGGAAGATCTGTAGTCACTCATCTGCCTGCTTTTCTGTTCTCTACATCACTGCCGCATTCCCGCTCTGTCGATCTCAATACTGTCATCTTTACTCTAGTCCAATCATCTTCTTGCTCACCTTCTTTGGGCCAATCAGCCTCCACTTTGCATAGTTTAAATCTGCTCTCTTCATCATTTTCCCTTTCAGACTCTTATTCTTGCAGGCCACCTCCTCCCCATCTCCATCTCACAGACACCTCATCTTCATCTTCACCACCACCACCACCTCTAGACTCTGAGCAGTCCTGCCCTAAATCCTATCACTGCTGGGATTCGGTTCTGCCACAATGAGTCATCAGAGTCTAATCGCCAAAGAGATTTATTACTTCTCTATCTCAATAAATCATGTTCACATTCTTCCATAGTGGTATAGTTACTATTTACACTTTAACCTCCTAAGACCCAAACTCTTTCATGGCATGCATTTTTAATTCTTTTTGCTATTTGGGCTGATTGGGAGAGAAGTTTAACATCCAGGCATCCATGAAAACAGAATTTATTAAATTTAACAGAGTTAGAAGTTAGCAGGAAGTTAGCTCGCTAGCTTCCACGAAAACATGATATAGCATGTTCTGACTGAGAGATTTCTGAAAACATTCAAACGTACAGCTCTGCTATCACTTCCAACATAAATGAAGACAGAAAACTAAACAGCAGTGACGTTTGTAATTGACTAGCTATATAAACATGCTACGTGATCATAGACAAAAGCATCTCTTAATGTTTGAATTTGGGTTTTTTCAGTTACATTGCCACGAGCATATTGAACCACGCACCTAGCCATGCAGCCCACTTTTACAAACATTTGTGAAATAACGCAAAGCTTTAAAGGTCTCCATGAATTGATCAAATAATGAAATAATACAATAAATCAAAATTCAAAGTATAAAACCAGGGACAAATATTTTACAAAAAAATAAGATGAATTCAAATTAATAAAAAGATGAAACATGAACATTGCTATCAAGTTGAAGCCTTTGACACTATCATAAACTCATATTGTGTTTGTCTCATATGACTCTAATTACAGATGTAGGCCTGTCACTGCTATTATTACAAAGAGTAATAATGTGAAACCTTTCACACCAATAAAAGCAGGAGCTTTAATTTAGTTGCTTGCTGTTGTTTTGTATTTAAGTTATAAGTTACTTTTAGCGAGCCTTTGCTGCCATTTTGATCACAAACGTTATTAATGAAAGCTGAGAAGTGAACAAAAGTAGGAAGAGGTGTGAGGTTTCCCT